GTCCTGGCTGCTTGGACGGCGGCGGCGGCGGCGGCGGCGGCCGCCAGAGCTGGGTGGGGTGAAGTCTGGAAGCCGCGCCGCGCCGCGCCGCGCGCTGGAGCTCTGCCCTCCCTCTCTTTTCACGCGCTGGCCACTCGGGCGAGCTGCCCCGCGGAGACGGGGCCGTAAGAGGGGGCAGTCGAGGGCTGGAGCTGCGGCTGCTCGAGCCACACTGCCACCGCCGCCACCTCGGTCCCATGGGCACTGCTCGGAGCCATGCCACTGGGCATGCGGGGGGGTGGAAGGCTGGCGTGGCACGTGGGGAAAGGGCAGGTGTCTTGGGGAGCTGGAGGGACGCGACGTGCGCCAGCCTTGGAGGAACGTGTAAGCAGCGGAGCAGATGGGCTCTTTTTATACAGTCCAGGTCGGGCTCGCCGTGCAACTCCTGCGGCGCGGCGAGTGCGGACGCCTGCCCCTCGTCACCTTCCGTTTTTCTCTCTCTCTCCCTCTTTTCCTCCCGCCCCGTTCCCTTCCTGCCCAAGGACGCTCCCGCCGGGTCCTACCGCCTTCTCTCCCCCTTTCCATCCCCTGGCCCCTTTCCGGACCCGGACACTCCTCTCTGGGCCGCAGTTCTGGCCGGGAATGGTGATGTAGGCGTCCTATTCTCGTCTCTGCGGGCTTTGGTGCCAACTGCGCTCTCCACCGCTAGCTGCGCGCGCCGCCAGTCAGACCCACGCCCCTAGCCGCGGCCACGGGCTTAGTTCTAGCGTCTTATCCTAGGCTCCCGCCTACACCACCCACTCACTCTAGGAGGCCAGTGCTAGGTGGAGCGAGACCCTGTCTCAGACCTCTCCACTCTGGAATCTTATCCAGCCCTGAGGGCCACACCCAGGTTAGAAGGAGACGCCAGTAATATCCCCCCAGAAGGAAGGGACCCATATGTGCATTTTATACTTGGGACTTCGGGCTTCGAATCCTTTACTTTGGGTACAATAAAAACTAATTTTATGTATTTAGTTTTAGAAATGTGTGCTTTTCATTCAATCCCTCCCGTTTAACTGTAAGTCGGGGGGGGGGGTAGGGGGACGGAGGGAGAGGAAAGAAAACGCTGTCTGCCAGAATGTGAAAGTACCGGAAACAGAAGCCAACTCTGTGAAAAACAGCCTTCGGCTCCACCCGCCCGCTCCAGCCGCCGAGCAGTTCAATGCCTCTGGAAAACAGTTCCCGGTGAGCACGTTCATTCCCACAGCCGCCTAGAAAGGAGGTCATCAGAATTCAAGGAAAAAAAAAAAAAAAAGGCGGGTTGGGGTGGGGTGAGGGGCACTGGAACCATCGCCATTAGCATCAGCAGTGTGTCTGTCTCCTTTATGCTCAACAAATACATCAGGATGTCAGCCATGGGCGGCAGCAAGCAATACTGATATCCAGGTCCCGCGACCGGAGTAGATCCTCTGTCCTCAGTTTCTACTCCAGCCTTAAAAGAAGCAACTGTAGAGTTGAAGTACAAATCAGAAAGTTTAAGGAAAAGAACCAGGGAAGGACAATGCATTTTTCAGCACTGAGGACTAAATGATCCCCACTACAAATTCCTAAAGCCCAGATCAGTGTTTGGCACGCAGAATGCATCTAATAAAAACTGCATTGTAATTGAATTTATCAGGTTAAGCGCAAGTATGTTTTAAAGAGAAACAGTTTCAGAGCCAAAGATTATCCGATCCATCCATTTCGTTTTAGAAGAAGAGTAATTGAGATCCTTTGAAATAAGAGCTTTTTCCCAAAGTGACATAACCCAAACCCAAGTTCCCTTAGTTCCTGGTTCTCTAAACCAGGCAGGCAGAAAAAAGAAAAAAAAAAAAAAGTGCTTCTTCTATGTGGGGTATTTTTCTTGACACCAGGGGTACCAAGGCCAATGGGGTAATACAATACTTGGTTTTAGAGTAATTTACATACTAGAAGAGGCAGACAGACAATAACTTCATGAACAAGTAAACAACATACTTTCATATAGTGTTAAGTGTTATGCATAAAATAAAACATACCCATGCATTGAGAGTGAGGGTACTCCTTTAACTAAGCTCCCCAAAGACGGCCTCTAGATGCGGTCTGGGCTGCAGCAGCCACTCTGAGGGTAAAAGTACAAGCCTCTCTTTCCGCTTTTCTGTCCCTACCGCTCAGCACTTCTCGGGCAACTTCGTGCTTTATTTTCACCACTTTTAAGGGGTCCTCCTCATCCTCCCACCCCATCTGTCCACATCAGGAGCCTAGCTAGACCTCATTCTATTGCAAACTGCAGCGCTCTCAGAAACTATAGGAGAGGGAAGCAGAGCAGGCGAGCTTAAACCGCTAGGTGGGGGCGTTGTCCAGGATGGAGCAAAAGCGTGTGTGGTTGCGGATGGAGGGGAACAGGGGGTGCAGAACCATTTTCCTACTATCTTAGGGGAGCTGGGAAAGATTAGAGAGAACTGCTGAAGGGATGGGAGGCGGGGGAAAGGCGAAGAGGGACGTTACCGGCTGCAAGAGGCATTTCCTCTTTTTACTTCTGCTCCAGGAACATACGAAGGAGAAAAGCACTTCTTCCCCGCAGGGTTTGGCTTTAGCCGTGTGGGGACCTGTGGCTTTCTCCAGCTGCATTTACGCTGCTTCACGGAGTCCCGGACCCTGACCAGTATCCCCCACTTCTGGGCGAAGTTTGACTTTACCCTCTTTGCGTAAGAGTTGCGAGAACACACCCAGCCTTCACACAGACGGGATTTTGGCAGGGTCCAGTGGAGAATCGCGTTTCATTAACCTGGCTTCCGCATTTCACTCATTCTTTTCTCACTTTAAAACATATAAAACGTAGGGTTTTGCACATGGGTACACGTGTGCGAAACACCCAAGAGAGCAGGAGACCCTTAAGGTCGCCTATGCCTGCGCCGCCCCTGCCGAAGAGGGGCCCCTGGGTGTGGTCCATGCGTCCTGTCCGCAGTCTCCCCGGGCGCTAGAAGGAACCTCCCTTCAGGTTTGCTGGAAATTCAGCGAAAACAGGCTCAGCAGGAGGGAAACGGAGGGAACAGCCAGAAAAGGAGCGAGATGGGGTTCCAGAATGCAGCAAAAGTAAGTTGGATGGGCTGGCAGGTTAGTTCACTCGGGAGAGCATGATGTTGGTAACACCGCGGTGAAGCGTTCGGATCCGCCAGCCCACCGCCAAACAAACAAAACCCCCCAAAATAAAAGCAGCAAAAAAAGTTAGTTGGATGGAAATAAGCCCCTGTTTCACACGACCTGGCACTAAAACTACTAATGAATATGCTCTCCTTATTAATTCCATGAGGATGGGCTTTCAGCGGAAGCCTTTAAGTGGACGATAACTCTGGACCTGCAAGTGAATTCTGTGATAGGATGGGACACGAAGCTGGATATGGTGGTGAGCTGGATGCGGAGGGACCAGGGAAGGATCTCCTCTCAAGGAGACCTCCCCTATGCTAGAAAAATGTGCTGGTGGCTTTGTTGATGCAGGGAAATTAGAGGCGTAGGTTGAAAAGTTTAGAGCCAGGCGCTAACTAGACCAGACACTGTGAGGAAAAACCCCCCCATCTGCACCCAACCACAAGAAGACACTCCAGGAAGAATGCAGACAAAATTAGAGCATATATATAAATATATATATATATATATATATATATATAGCCTTAGCCATATATACATGGCTAAAGTCAATATCTATATATACAGAGAGAGAGAGAGATAGACATTTTCTAATGCCTGTCTCTTTAGTAATAGACGCTTTGCAACTTTGAACAGATACCCGCAACAAGTGGGTTACTACTGGTTCAAAGCTATCCTAATTCCATCTTGGAGAAGAGCTAGCTCCAAATTAAGTTCTAAATCACATTTTTTCTGGCTGAAGATCTAGGTCTTAGAAGAAAATTTCTAATTTAAAGTTACTGCTAAGTAATACAAGTAGAGGTTGCATGAAGGATGGGATGCCGAATGTTTCTTCTTGGACAAAGAGTGGGATTCAGCAGTAAAGAGAAATCTCTGGATGGAAAAACAATGTCAATGAATCCACCACACTTAGAAACAATTTGCTTCTTTAAGCTGGCAGTGTCATTAGGCAGCTCTGTTCAGGGTCAAGTCTCTCTTGAAAAACCCAATAAAAATTTTGATGCTGAAGTTATCTTCCAGCCTAAGGAAAGAAGCAATAGAATCTTCTTTTTACATTGAAAATAAGGGTTTTGTTCCTTATTTGCAAGTCAGGAAAAATTGCATCATTTTGTGCAGTTAGTTCTGGCTCTACAAAGAAAACAAACGAAGCTGTGTTTTATTGCTTCTTCACCTGTAATTCACGAATAATAATCATTATCCTTTATTGAGCACTATGTAATGAGCCATATGCTATGTGTTCTATATACATTCATTTAATTTTTATAACACTAGGAGTTGTCATTATCATACTTATTTTCTGGATGAGGAAGTTGAGGCTTTTAGATAATTTAAGTAACTTTGCCAGTGTCAGGCAGATGGAGAGTGTTAGAACCTGTTTTCAAATCCAAGTCACTCTGATTTCAAGTTTCAGCCCTTCAGCAATATTCTACACTGAATCAGCCATGCAGCTCAGCACTGGTAGCCATTCTAACCTATCCGCCCATGACTTTATTTCCTCCCACCTGTGAGGTGACATCACTGCTCATAGCTATTTAAGTCTCCAGAATAGTCCTCTCTTAGATGCCTTCAAATTTTTACGTGGGGGTTGGGGACATGGGGAGTTGGTGATTGTGGTAAAAATAAGGTAGAAAACTGTGCACCATGATTACATGTAGCTAGCTAACCACCATTTCAAAATCAGTGATCACATACTATGTAT